CCAATATCTTTATTGTACACCAAAATATATGTGCCACTATCCCTTCGTGGTTACGTCTCTAATTATATTTTAACTTACAAGTTATATTTTTAATATATTATTACTATATCCTATTTTATCTCCAGTTTATTTATACTTTTATTTATTGTTCTTTTCCAATATTCCTAATTTAGAAAATATATTTTAAATTTGAATTATATGGTTGGTATGAGAGAATTAAATCTAAAAGTTATATTGAATAGACGAGTTGCTGGTAACAAAGAAAAAAATATAATTTTATAAGTAAAATAAAGTTGAGAAAAGTCTTGAATTCATGATCATATTTCATCTATGGTCAATAAAATAAAATAAAATCAGGTGGGCAATCAATTGCCTGCTTTAAATATTATATTATTTATTGCTGCACTGATTTTGAGAAATAAATGTCCAACGTGGACATTTTCATAAGTCCATAAATTCAGTATTTTTTTTTATGTCAATTATACTAAGCTATACTTACCAACTCACTTTTTGTCCATGGACTCAATATTAATAAATATTTTATAGGTAAAAAAAATAGATAAAATATAAAAAATATTAACATAATATCACTAATAGAGATATAATATTAATATTAATAATATTTAATTTTTAAAAAAGTGTGTGAATATTTATTTGATAATTTAAATATTTGTTATGATTTTTTTATTTTTACAATTTGTCAAAAAATATACACCGGTATTTAATCAATATTTCTATCGATAGTTCCATAAAATTGAAATATCAACATTACCATTGAGATTAACCTTTAAACTTTTGTTCTTTCTTATAAATTTTTTGTTTTGCATTTTTAATTGATAAAAGTATTTTCTAAAATGGGAATTTGTAGGTTAAATTATAGTTTACCATTCATGATACATAATTTGAAGGTCTAAGTTCTATTTTGATTTAACAAGTTCAATTGTTCGCAGTATTAATGAGTGAGGTTAAATATATAATAGGAAACTAATATAGTCTTGATGTAGGATATTCGATAACGTTTTCACTTTCACTTATGGAAGGTAGGTTTGAACATTTAATCGAAATAGAGGTCCCACCAATTTCGACATCGAATGTCAACGAGTGGAAGTCGACAAAAAGACACTATAGCGGTTAAAGGAGGGCGGTTGGTAGTGGTGAGGGCTAAGGGAGATGAATGGTTGTAAGAGAGTTGCATGAACAGCAGAGAGGTGAAAATGYCAAGTTAGTTTAAAGTCTACTTTGTTTTCCTTCCTTGAAACGTTACAAAATAAAATGTCATCATTTTATTTATACGTTGTCTTATATAATGTTATTAAGAAAAATAACTTCATTTTATTGATAGGATGAACATAGCTCAACTAATCTATATATTATTTACTTTTCTAACAGTTAGAAGTTCAATTCCATCCCCTCGAGTTGAACTTATGAAATAGTTTTAATATAACCAATTCAATCATATTTTTAATAGAAGTTGTAAAAAAAAAAAAGGTGTTAGTAGTAGTATTAGTAGCTCAAGTTGGTAAAAATTTCAATGCTCCAAAGTCATTAACATCTGAGAGGTGAAGAACTCTTTCCTCCTTTTAAGCAACTATGTCAGTCTATTTACTATTATTATTATTATTGGTTTCTATGTTTTGAAAACATACTAGTTTTTAGTGGAGTATTTGGTAACATTTTGATTTTTTATTATCAATTTTATTGAGAACTATTTGGTAATTATTTATTCTTATTGTTTTTATTTCTTCTACCAACATTCTCAAAATGGTATAGAAATTTAGAAAAAAAATTTTTTTCTTATTTTCATTTGCAACAAAATCAAGTTTCCTTCCATTTTCAATGAAAAAAAAATATTTAACAAGAAATGGTTATTAAATACAATTATGTTTTTCTTTATAGCAAGAAATAAGAATGTTGCCAAACCAGTCCTATAATATTATTGCTAAAGTTTTGGTCCAACTTGAAATACAATATTTTAGAAGTTTGGTTATTGTACTTTTAGCTTTTGTATTTTTCTTTATAATTCCACAACGTTATTTTTAAAGAGGGGATATTTTAGCAATTTATTTATTTATTTTTATCTTTCTTTTTTATAATCACAATTTCAACGCAATATTACACTAAAAAAAGATATACCGTTGAACTATGCAAAAGTATATAGATAAAAATGAACATTTTAAAAATACACCCAACAAAACATGGTTAACTATTAGTTTAATTACATCAATCTACATCAATCTACTCTATTAAAGCCAAAGAGTAGCTCGGTGGTAGTTGACATATGTCTCCAACCTAGAAGTTGTTAGTTTGATCTCCTACCCCACGTGTTGTACTAAAAAAAATCTACTCGATTAAAAAAACCGGAATAAAAATTCAAGTCCAATACTTTCATCTCACCTAACTTTTTTTTCTCCAAAAAAAATGGCCATTCCTTGAGAGAATACAATTGAGAACTAAAAAACTTGAAGTACTAAACATTTCTCTTCTATTAATTTGGGGAAAATAAAATCAAGAAAAAACAAAAGAATCATGGAACTTCTTTATTTTCACTTTCCGGAGAAACAAACACGGTTGACAGTAAAAAGGGGAAAATGGAAAATAGAAAATAGAAAATCCCCACGGAATATGAATTTTGATTTAAAATTGGCTTTATTATCGGAATCCATTACTATTTACACAGAAAAAGTCAGACCATCTGATATAATATTTTATCTCCAAAGAGAA